CATATTCCAAGTTCCTACCTCCCTTGAGGTCAGAAGTAAGTTTTTCTCTGAAGCACCTGTCAGTCATTGTCTTCAGCTAACAGGATCCACAACTCAATTTGGGTGTTTATTAGAAAATTACAGAATAGTAAAGAACAAAATAAAAGGGGGAGCTAGGACAGAGACAAGAATCTTTCACCCACATTTCCCATTTCTCCTCAGGCTTTCAGGCACTTGCAGAGGTGCAGCCGCTTCCCAAATAGGGCCCCACATATGCTATATGGACAAGAGAGAAAAGAAACACAAGCACCCTAAAAAGGACAAGCAAGAAAAGAAACATGCGCACCCTAAAAACCAGCCGTGCTGATGTTCTTTCAAAGGAGTCACTGTACCCTGAGTCTGTTCCTTATGGCTTGTGTGTGTTTCAGAAACAGGAGTAGAATTGCAATCAAATTAGCATGCCTGGGTGAAAACTGCCAACTACAGAACAGTTCATGTGCTGCAGCTAGGACAAATAGAACTGGTGCCCAGTTTTCCTACTCAGGATGTTACTCCACACTATTTACTAATGATGACAGATTGTTACCATAGGAATAGTTGCTTCACTTGCTGCCTTGGAAGCAAAAAAAAAAAAATCTTCTCAAAGAAAGTGACATATGTACCATAGAATGTGGAGTTTTACATTTTAATAGTACAGAGGGAATACTTATTTGTTTAAACCAGGTATATTCTTTTTTAATGGTAATGTATGACCACTTTATACTAGCACTTTTGGTTGTTTTTCCATAATAAATATATACTGGACACCATTAAAAAGTCAACATGTCATTGTAAACCCTATGTAAGTATTAAGAATTATTGTGATGTATGCCAACTCTTTGATGGCAGCCAATGTAGACTAATTTAAATTCTGTGGATTCAATTCCAATCACTGCAGGAAAAACAGTGTAACTCTTCCCCAGATGGGATATACAAACAGGACTAATGTATGCCTTTATTCTAGCTCTGAGCAAAACAGGATAAAAGTGATTCCATGCCATTTCAGCACCCTCTGCTTGCTGGAAGTTTGTTGTGAGAAGTGATTATTTTCCCTTTTACCAGGTAGTGCTGAGCATAAAGGGAAGGAGTGGAACTGAAAACTGCAACTCTGAACCAAAACCAACTGAAAACAAACATCCCCCTTATTTTCACCATCACTGAGCCAAAAAGACTGCCCTGCAGACTCTGGGGATGGTACCGTGCTTACAGATTTACTTTGTTTATGTGCATTGCCATAGGTTGATACTAGATTACAGTTATTAAATAGACAGTGCTTATGAGAGGGGAAGAATTGCCTCTAAAGGAGCCCAGTGGGTAAGTTGGAATTTTGCCAGTTTACTGGGTGGAGGCTCGAGCCAGATTGGTTACATTGTTGAGAGAACCTCCCTAGATACTGAACCCGGCCCTTCTGGCTGCCAACTGCTACCAATAGAAGGGTCACAACAAACAGCTACAATTAGTAGGGCTACAAAAACCCCAAACCAAAAATACGTACTCCCTACCTCCCCAAAGAAAGAAAAACACAGGGACTGGGACCTCTGTACTCTAACTAAAGTTATATTTAATTACACATTATAGAGCATGTACATGATAGAACAGAACTTTCAAAACACTGCCTGCTTTTTCTATCTAGAAATCTAAATTATGGTGCATTCAGCCTGAAGAAACATTTCTTTTCTCCATATTAACTAGACTATCACAGCTCAGGAACATTTGGATGGCTGGCACTCTTTATATATAAAAGGGAAAGTCCCTGAGGAGACTCTTTACCATGATTTTCCTTTTCATGTCTTCGGTAGGATCTTTGAAAAAGAGGAACACATGTTGGACACATTCCATACTTGTTTAGTTTTGCAGCATAGATGGAAAGCAAAACTATTACATGTGGGACTGAAGAAACTTCCTTTTCAGCTAAAGGTACTTGCTCAGTATGCTAGAAGACTTTGTTGTGGTTAACTAAATACATGTCTACAAAATAAATCTCTCCCTCTCTTTAGTTGATGAATTTTCTGGTTTGAACCCCAAAACGATAGGGCCTAGATCAGAAGTGTTAGTTCAAACCCCAATACTTGTTCAAAAGAAACGTCAGGTTCAATAAAACTCTCAAACAGCATTTGCAATCATCCCACTGGGCTGTTGTTCAACCATGCTGATTCCTTTGGTGTTCATGAATATTTACCCAGATTACTTTTGTTTATAAAAATGACTGGATGGTGGCTGCTCTTAAAACACATGGCCACGTTTGCATGCAGACAAGAGTATTCACCCTCAAAGAAGAGCATTCACTATTTGTCATTCATCATTCTACTGTTTATAAACATCTAGAGAGTGAATAGAAAATACAGTGCATGGCTCGGGTGACCTCAAATAATGAAAGAGTGAATAGCCGATGTGAACAGTTCCCAGACAACTCCTAGGCTGAAAACAGTTTATCTCCACTGTTCAGCGAATGCTTATACGTAATGAATAAGCAAGCCAATGTCAGGACCTGACATCAACCTAGGGTCAAACTGATACAAAAAACCTTATTCACCACTATTAAATATTTGTCAGTCTCTCAAAACAATAATATTGTTCCCTTTAGCAACGTCAAGAGGTAGGAAGAGTGTTGCCTATCAAATGGTGATTGATTATGTTGCTGAAGTTACCAGGAAATAACTTTAAGTGAATACCTCACTTTAGTATCACTAGATATATGATGTTTCATTTGCCTCATTACAAATACCAGATATGTAGGTGTAACCACCACCAGGTGGATTTGAACCTGAGACCTCTGAAGCAGAGTATAAGAGCCTCCACCCTGTAAGCTAAAAGCCAGCTGGCTCCTAGCCTCTGCTGAGGAGGTCTCTTAGGCTTAACTGTTGCTGTGGTCTAGGTAGCACTTGCATTGCTCAGTTACTACACTAGGGCTATGTCTACACTCGTGGCTTCTTGCACAAGTAATATGCAAATGAGGCTAAGCGTGGAATATCACCAAGCCTCATTTGCATACCGAATAAGCCACCATTTTTTTCAGAAGAGGCTTTTGTGCAAGATGGAGTGTCTACACTGCCCCTTCTTGCGCAAGAAAAACCCTCTTGCGCAATGCCGTTCTTCCTCTCAAGTAATAGGTGCATGATATTTGCTTTTTTTGTCAGTGTCACACTGTTGACTCATATTTAGCTTGTGGTCCACAATGACCCCTACATCCCTTTCAGCGGTAGTCCTTCCTAGACAGTCACTTTATATTCTGTTTGGCTATGTCTAGACAACAGGGTTTTTTTGAAAAAACTTCACCTTCATCTAAACTGCCGCCATATTCTTTTGAAATTAAATCAAAAGAATGCGGCGTTTTTTTCAACAGCGATAAACTTTATTTTTTGAGGAAGAATGCCTTTTTTCAAAAGAGCTCTTTCAAAAAAGGTATTCTTGAATGCAAACAGGGCTTCTTCAGAAAAGTGATCCAGATTGCCTGAGTGCTCTCTTTCAAAAAAGTGGATCGCTTTTTCAAAAACAGTTGTGGCTGTCTAGAAGATCCCTTTTGAAAGAAGCATGTAGTCTAGACGTACCCTATGTGTGAAACTGATTGTTCCTTCCTAAGTGAAGTAATTTGAATTTGTCCTAATTGAACTTCATCTTATTTACCTCAGGTCATTTCTCTAGTTTTTCCATATCATTTTGAATTATAACCCTATCATCCAAAGCACTTGCAAGCCCTCACAGCTTGGTATCATCTGCAAACTTTATGGCTACATCTACACTGCCCTCTCTTGTGCAAAAAAAGATGCAAATGAGTCAAAGCAAGGAATATCGCCGCACCTCATTTGCATAATTAATTAGGCTCCATTTTTGCACAAGAGGCTTTTGCACAAAACCCCCTCCTCCAGCAAGAGCAGTTCTTCCAGAAAAAAAAGCAGAAGAACAGCTCTTGCACAAAACCAGAGCCTCATTATTTATGCAAATGAGGCACAGTGATATTCCACGCTTCACCTCATTTGCATTATTTTTTTTTGCACTAGAGAGGGCAGTGTAGACGTAGCCTAAAAGTGTAGTTTTTATGCCATTTCTAAATCATGGATGAAGATATTGAACAGAACCAGTCCCAAAACTGATTCATGTGGAACCTCATTTTTATACCCTTCCAGCATGACTGTGAACCATTGATAACTACTTTCTGAGAACAGTTATCCAGCTAGTTATGCACTTACATTATAGTAGCCCCGTCTACACTGTATTTCCCTAAATTATTTATATGAAAGTCATGCTATACAGTATGAAATGCTTTATTAAAGTCTGACATAGCTCCACAGAAGTCAATAAAGTTGCATTGATGCAAGTCTGCGGTTACAGCATAATGTGACCCGATGGGAATCATGGCATTAACTGCACTAGAAACTGGAGAAAGCAGATATTGATGAGTACATAGCAATTTTTTACATCATTCATGACTGTTTGCCCAGTGTGTTTGCATAAATGTATACTGAGTGCAAGTCAATTTAAAGTGATCACTGAAATCAATGTAAAGTTCTGTGCTACTCTGAAAAGTGATTAAAACAATACCTTCATACTTGGCAGATCTGTTGTGCTCTGTAATTTCAGTTATATCTGCTGACTCTACCAACTAAAATGCAGGAAGCTTCCCACTGCAGCTTTGAGACAACTGGGAATTCTGTTCCATCACATGCATCAATTAAACAGGTTACTAAATTCCAATCAGTTACACAGATTCAAAAGTGAAAGAAATCTGGACATGGTTTTTTCAAAACCCTTTTTTGAAAAAACTGCGTAAACCTAATTTTTTAAGGAAGACAGGAATTTTCAAAAAGGGCTTTTTTAAAAAAAAACTGCGTCTAGACTACTTTCACTGTCAAAAGATCCACTTTCAAGAGTGAGATTGGAAGAAGATATGCAAATTCCCACTGAATTTGTATATCCTCTTTCGAAAATAGAACATAGTCTAGACATAGCCTCAGTTATTTTGAAATAATGCTAGTTATTTCGAAATAACGTTGCTGTGTAGACGTGCCCTAAGTATATTATTTTTTCCAAAGTCAGAAATACATGTAACAAAATCTACCATACTTGAGAACATCCATACAGGCTGGAGCAGGGATAGTCAATTATTTTTTCACAAGGGCCAAATTTCTTGGTCAAGGTATAGGCAAGGTCCATAGAAAATAATAAAAAATAACAAAAACAATATTTTGGGGTCTGTTCAAAAGTGTGTAGTAGTCCAGATTTGGCTTGCAGTCTGCCTATTAACTACCCATGGAGTGGGGCATTCAGGGCCTGAAACATTAATCCTGCTCAGAAACTTTGTTAACATACAGCACAGCTTAAGGCACAAAGTGCGCCTGCCTTTTTCTCTCCTCTCTGGAGGATGGTGAATGTGCATTCCTGAGAAATCAAGGACCCCACAATCGTACCTTTCCTTACATATCATTTAGGTTGCAAAAACAATCAAAAGCTTCTTTTTCCTTGCCTTTTCACTCATCCAAGGGCAGAGCAGGTAGAGCTGGAGCGGACGGAGGTGCCATTGCCAATGGCCTCCTCGTTACCGTCTCTTGAATATGTTTTCTCAGAAGGGACGCCTCAATTTCCCTCAGCAGCTCTTACTGTTTATTTTGCAGTCTCCTCCTAGCAGCCCATTTTTCAGTGAGCTGAATCACTTCTTCCTGAGCACTGGCTGCACCCTGTGATCATTGGAAATCAAAGATTAAATACAGTCTGGAATGGCCTCTTCTCAGCAGCCCCACACCCTAACTAACAGGGCAAATAATAATAATTTAAACATACTTACTGAGTTGAATGAGTCATCAAAGCCTCTTCTCCACTGTGAGACTGATGTTTTGACCATTCTGGCATTCATAGACTCTGGAGTTGTAAGACATACAAGCAGCCAACCCAGCCCTTCCTGTGCCTGTGGATGTGTTTTGCTAAGTCAAAGCAAAAGGGATAAAATGAAATTTAATATCTATATCTCCGCAATGCTGGAGCTAAAAGTCACACCAGAGAGAAAGAACTGCCATCTGAAGCTACTACATTCATTGTGGCGCATGCAGGCCAATAGCAATTAACATAGCACGTTTCTTTTCTTTTAGCATTCAGGAGGATAAAGTCTTCAGGATGACACACTAATCGTTTAAACCCCTGTTTTGTTATTTTCCTGAAAATACCCCAATTGTTAGTTACCAAGGCAACAAAGTCTACAAGTATTTAACCTTTATTCCTCCATGATACCCCAAGTATAAGTCTGGGCCATAAGGAGCCCCTGGTCTGAAAGATAACTGCCTAGAGGTAAGGTGAGTATCTCTTTGCTCCAAAATCGCTGCCAGGAACTCAAACTCCCATCTACACCTGGCAACTGCAAGCTCCATTTCCTTAAACTTTAACAAGGGCCAGATGAGGCAAAGCCCTAGTGTTTTAAATGTGTGGCGTAACACCCATTGCAGGCCTTGAATGTAAGTTCTGCTCTTGCTGCTGACCTTTTATTGTCTCTGTATTGCAACTGATCTCTAAGGCTCTTCAAAGTTCTGTTCCACCAAAAGATCTATTCTCATTCTGATTCCTTCTTTTCCTCTACCCAAACCCAGCTCTAGCTGCCACCTCCAATCACCTTATTACACCCATCCCAAATCTCTACCACATCTGACGCATCATTAAAAATATTGCTGCCCCACTAGATATCAGCCCAATTGGTGTTGTGTTTAATTGGGTGTCTTGTTTTGTTTCAAATAAAGCCACAAATGAGCTGAAGTGAGCAGCACATCCCAAAAGAATGCCAATAAAAGGGTGATACCACATCATCATGGGTTCCATACATCTCATAGGAAAACTAGTTGGCAAATATTTTACATAGTTCCAACAAAGATTTATTAAATTATTTTTATGTCCCTCCACCTGAAAAGCCAGATGTATTATGTACTATGAGGCCACTTGCACAGGATTAAGAAAAAGGGGGAAAAAACAAAATTTCAAAGACTGCTAAAATAAGGACCAAACATTACTTTCGTGCACATGATAATTTCACAACACAGAAGTATAACATCTCAGGACCTTCCAGGTCCTGCATCTGTTTAGAATGCAATGACACACCCCTTTTCCAATAGCATAAAGCTCCTGCTTGTCATTCAGTTGATATCAGATCTTATACAAATCACTTGTCCAGGACTGAATATTGTCTAGCCTTCCCCTTTGTGATTTTGAAAAATGGAGAGGAGAAAAACAGACTTTTGCAATGGGTGATTTTTAAAAAATTCCACTCAGAATTCAATTCCACTCAGAACTTTAGAATCTTAGAAGTAGTCCTGGGGAAGTCAGATTAATGTGCCGAGAGTAGGTGCTTGATAAATGAAATGCATTCCAAACAACACTATAAAAGGGCAAAGGAGGGGGGGGGGGGGGGAGGAAAGGGGGGGGGGGGGGGGGAGTTGCCTATGCCATCCTTCCTCTGTTTCCTGGAGCTGGCAGTAAGCAACATGTTTTATCTGTGGACACTCCAGCTACCCTAAGTCTATTTGGTGAACCTCCATGAAATGCTGGAGAATTTGGACCTGCTTGGTATAGGTATGTTTGGGATATGAAGACATGTGTGGATCAATGAGATGTGCAACAGGGTTGCAATTATGGTAGAAGGAGATCTATGTTTCACACCCTCTGATGGTCTGAGCAAAAGGGTAAAGCTGCCTATGTGCCTTCTAGATCCAGCATGCAGAGCAGAATTGTGTATCTTACAATTAGCAGGGCACAGGGCTTTTATTACAAAAGGTATTGTAAGGAGCAAGCTAGGATATGAAAGCAGCTATAAGCATTTATTATCTGCATGCACTGCAGGTTAAATTTGCGTGGTCAGAATCAGATGGACAGAGGACAGTAGCTGGCGCTACTTGGTGGTTAGCTGTCTGAACTCTGGGGATTACTTTGGAGGTGTGTGACAGAGCAATGACTGTGCTACGAGGAGACTGGTGGTTTGCACCCTTCATGTGTGCGAGCAAAGAAAAGAGGTACATGTGGACCTGTGGGCTGTGTCGTTTCTAAGTAGAACTGTGTGGGCTATGTAAATAGCAGGGCACAGGGCTCTCAATAGAAAGGATATGGTCAGCCGTGAGCGGGGTAGGCGATGCTTTAGTGATGGATAAGTGAAAGTGTAGGCTGTGATGGTATCCTGTGACCATGTGTAAGGAAGTTGTCAAAGGCTGTCTTTCCCCTCTCCACCTCTCTACAGTAATCCCTTACTTGCTCCTCTCTGCCCCCTTCCCTGTGAGTGAATGGTGGGCAGGGCCTCAGGGGGGAGAGGCCAAGAAGGAGTGGGGCCTAGGAGCAAAGTGCGGGTGGGCACAGGGGGAAAGAGGCCAGGTAGAGGCAGGGCCTCACGGAAAAGAACAGGCAAGGACAGGCTTTGGGGGTGCTCTGGGTGCTGAGGCCCAACAAAGATTAACCCAGCCCTGACTGTGCACACGTGGTGTTCTGTTAGGGAAGTTGGCTAAACCAGTGAGCGTATACCAGGACCTGCATTGCCAAGGCCCAGAGTGAGTATGTGCTATGTGCAGACTGGGGCATTGCACCTGAGGGGCAGAGAGAAGGTGGCGTGGGGACAGAGTTAGATGGAATCCTGTGGAGGAGAGTACAAGGAGGTGAAGAGCTGGCACATTTCACTACCTATGGGTATGTCTACACTACAGCACTAATTCGAACTAAGCTAATTTGAACTAACGCGTCTAGAACTAAAAATTAGTTGCTAATTCGAACTAGCATGTCCACATTAAGTGGACCCTGAACCGGGCTTAAGGATGCCCGGAAGCAGTGCCGGCAGGACATCAGAGGAGGACTTAGAGCGTGGAGATGCTGTCTCAGGCTAGCCGAGGGCTGTGCTTAAAGGGACCCGACCCCCACCCCGGACAGACAGTTCTCAGGGGTGCCCCACTTGCAAAGCAGTCCTGGTTTGGAGTGCCCGGAGTGCCCACACTGGGCACATCACACCACTCGGCCATCAGCCTGGCTGCACTTGCCGCAGGCTGCCATCTGGAGAGAGGGGGCAATTGGGGGGCTGCAGGAGAGCTTCCACCCCCAGAAGCCCGCAGAGCCAGCCCAGTCCTCCCCATCGGGGGCTCGTACCCCATTCCTCCCTTACCTCCTTCCACTTACCCTTCCCTAGCCCCTTTTCTTGATGTACAAAATAAAGGACAATTGTGTTCAAAAATGGAATCTGTCTTTATTGAATAAAACTGGGGGAGACTGGGAAAAGGAGGTGGGAGAGGGGAAGAGAGAGGGTGGGAGAGGGGAGGGCAACTACAGTGATGAGGGATTTGGAACAGGTCCCATATGAAGAGAGGCTAAAGAGACTGGGACTTTTCAGCTTAGAAAAGAGGAGACGGAGGGGGGACAGGATAGAGGTCTCTAAAAGCAGGAGTTGGGTGGAGAGGGTGCATACAGAAAAGTTCTTCATTAGTTCCCATAAAGAAGGACTAGAGGACACCAAAGGAAAGGAATGGGTAGCAGGCTTCAAACTAGTAACAGAAAGTTCTTCTTCACAAAGCAAAGAGTCAACCTGTGGAACTCCTTGCTGCAGGAGGCTGTGAAGGCTACAACTAGAACAGAGTTTAAAGAGAAGTGAGATAAAGTCATGGAGGTTGGGTCCATGGAGTGCTATTAGCCAGGGGGTAGGAGTGGTGTCCCTGCCCAAAGTTTGTGGAAGGCTGGAGAGAGATGGCACGAGACAAATGGCTTGGTCACTGTCGTCGGTCCAGCCCCTCCAGGGTCCCTAGTGTTGGCCGCTGTCGGCAGACAGGCTACTGGGCTAGATGGACCTTTGGTCTGACACAGGACGGCCATTGTAAGCTCAGGGCTCAGGGTCGGGGGTCTCAGTGGACATCCTTGATTCTCTTGCACACCTGCTCCTGGGTGGCCAAGCTGGCAGCT